AATGGGGGTACTTGGGGGGATGCTGGGCCTGGGAACACTGAGGGGGTAATAATGGGAACACTGGGGACATACTGGTGGCACTGGGGATACTGGGGGGATCCTGGGGACACTGAGGCTGGGGTTAGTGGGGAGGGCAACAGGTGATACTGGGGAGATAATGGGGACACTGGGACTGGGAGTATGAGAGGGATAATGGGAGTACTGGGGCTGGGGGCACTGGAGGGACAATGGGACCCCCAAGATGCAACACCACCTTTCCAAAAAAAAGACTAAGGGAGTTCACCCTCCCTCCCTGAGTTTGGAGGATGGTGGGATGCAAGCCCCCCGCCCCAAAAATAAAGCACCAAGGGGGTCCATCCCTCCACTCCCTTGAAGATGGAGGGGTGCTGGGTGCCAGGATGACCCCCCTTGCCCCTCCAAAAAACCCTGAGGAGTCCCCCCCATGACAAAGGGGTGGTTGGTGCTGAGGTGCCCCCCCAAAATAGCACCAAGGGATTCACTCTCCCTGGAAAAAGGAGAGGTGCTGGGATGTGCCCCCACTCTGACCCACCACAGAGGGTGCACTGCCAGGCTGTGCCCACCCCACCATGAGCCCCCCAGATACCTCTTCCTGGGCTGGATGGGCAGGGGGGGCTGGCACAGCTTCCTGGGGAGCCCGTCAGCCTCCAGCAGCTTCCCGGCCCAGGCGCCTGCAGCGTTGACCACGATGGAGCAGGCGACAGGCTGGTACTCCAGGCTGTCTGGCATGTAGATCTGTGAGGAGTGGGCACAGAGTTGGAGTGTTTTGTTCCAGGATCACATGCAGGGCCAAGAGCAGAACTACTTTTGTAGTAGTTTGGGCTTGAGGTCTTTGTCCAGGTGGCCAAGGTTCACCTTCTGGGTCTCCTGTTGCAGGAATTCCCAGGGATAACTGAAATACTTGTGAAGAGTCATGGATCATCGGCCCTCCAGCCACCTGATACAGCACAGGCCTGCTTTGGACAGAGTTCCTGCCACTGCAGGAATTGTGTGAGCTCTCTTCTCATTTCATAAAACCTACGTATACCACACACAACCAGATAAACATTTCAGCTGCCTCAGTATTTCTCAGAAAAGGCTGGGAGTGAGAGCAGACATCCCAGCAGTGACTGCCACCCTGAATAACCCCTCCAAACAGCACACATGATCTTCCTTCTTCCTGGGCAGCTGCCATGACTTGGGCAGCCCCAATAATGCCCCCAGTGCAGCCTGTGCACAGAATCAAGATCCACACTTTGCTTCATCCAAGGCCTTTCTGGCTGGTTTCAGGCCTTCATTCACAATAAGAGGGTCTTTAACTCTGGCAAAGTTCGGGGGGGGGGTCCTTGTGAATTAGAAAGAAAACGTGCTCAACCTGTACAGACCCCACATGGAGATGGGGCAGGGGGGTTGTCATGGACATTCCTGGAGGACTCACGAGTTTTGGGGAGTTCACACACACACACAGACACACAGACATAGACACACATAGACACACAGACATAGACAGACAGACAGACAGACAGACACACACACACACACACACAGACACTCACGTGCACGTATTTAATGCGCGCGGACTCCGCTGCTGACGATGTTGGGTCGTTGGCTGTGGTGACAAAAGCTGGAGGGTTTTGGGTTAAGGTGGGGGTTCCTGGGGGTGGTGGTCCCCAGTGGAGGTCCCAGTGGGGTCCAGTGCCCGCCCCCACCGTTCCTCACCTCGCACCTCCCCGTGGCAGTTGTGGACCCCCAGGGACGTGGCTTTGCGCCGGAAAGCGTTGAGGAGGGTCCAGGGGTCGAACCAGCCTTCATCCTCCAGGCCTGGGGGGACACAGGTAGAGGGAGGGGGCACTGTGGTGTGACTCCCCCCTAAAAATGCAGTTGGGGGGGGGCTGGACCTCCCCTTCCATAAATAAAGCCAGAAATGCAGGAAGCATTCAGCAGGGTGGGGATATAGGGTGGTTATGGGGTTAAGGATGGGTGTTAAGGGGGGGTCCTCACACCCACATACCATAGGATGCCACGGCCACGTCCTCTGTGTTTATCCAGGGGAATTTCTCCTTCAGCTGGGTGGGGGACAGCAGGGCTACCTGTGCCCCTTCACCCCTGGGAACAGCCAGCAGGTGGAGGGGGGGTCAGGATGACCTCCACCTTCCCCAAAATCCCCCCCTGTGTGTGGGGGCTGTGTGTGTCCCCCACCTCTGGAGCTGGACAGTGGCCTCCAGCTTGGCAGCATCCTCTGGGGAGGCCAGGAACAGGTATCCCGAGGGCTGGAACTGGATGTCGATGGGGGGCTCGTTGGGAACCCCGAGGTGCTCCTGTGAGGAGAGGACCCTGGTGAGCAAGGCTGGGACCCCCCAAACCACCCCCTCCACTCACACCACCAGCCCCACACACATTGATGTCACGCAGGAAGCTGGCAGAGAACCGGGACATCTGGATGTTCTCCGGGAGGGAAAACTGCTGCCGGATCCCCCCCACCGACAGCACCGTGGAGGCTCTGGAATACTGACAGGGA